AATTTGGCATGAGGGTCATATCCAGTGTGCAATCATCTTGTAGGAAGCTAAATAACACAGATGTGGCTGGACAATACCAGCTGGTGAAAGAACAAGCCACAAAGACTTTAGGTGCCCAGAGCTAACTGTAACACAGCAATCAGTAACACACCTGTTTGTTTATTCTCAAGCAGAGAAAATAAGTATTTTCTTACATTTACTTACTTAAAAGATCTCTACCCAGAAATTGACTGCAAGGTAATTGATGTGATGAGTGGCATTTTGAAGGATGTGGTTAGTTTCTGAAATTAGAATATGCAGATATCGTCCCTAATTGTTAAGGATGTTTTCCTTCATGTTTTAGTGCTGTAAAATTTACCCAAAGCTGAGTAAAACTCTGCCACCTACAGATCTCTTCCCGCTGCATTCTGACAATAAATTTGCATATGCCACAAGTATTTTTACAATAAACAGCTGGAGCTGCATAACAGTTTGTTAGAAGCTGGTATTTACACATTTCACCAAAAAAAAAAAAATCAGCAAAATCAAATCACACACTACATCCAGACCACTTGAGAATCAGCCTGTCAGCTCACAAAGTGGAGCAGGAAGTACAACGCAAACTTCAACCACTGTTTTCAACGAGACCCTTCCCCAAAAATGATCTGTCTCCCAAAAAGTCTCTGGAAGATGGCTTTGCTCCCCTCACCACATTAGGAACAACAACAAAAGGATACACGCCAGCCTTTCATGAGGCTGCTGGCATGGTCTCAGCCCAGTGAGATCTGGCAACAGGCAACTAATTCAACAAGCAAAGCTCAAATTTAAGATACTGAGCTATTCCAGATGCTAGGAGAGGTTAAACATTTATAATGGAAGCAAAGTCCACGGGGCACAAAAAGCCACCAGCAGCAGAATTTAAAACAAATTTATGCAAGAAGCACTTTCCTCATAGGACAAGGTAAACCTCAACTCAGTACATAAATTCCAGCAACAGTCATTAATTGCTTTAATGCTGTTGACCCAAATGCACTGCAGTTTCTTCTGCCCCTGCAACAGTATGCTACATAGCTTTATGCATGCAGATACCCAGGCAGCTCATCTAACCCTGCACCCAGCTCCTCGGGACCCACTCCTGCTGCCACGACCTCACAAACACCCATGGAAAGGCTCAGGGCTCCAGGAAATGACAGCCAGCAGTGGGCTTTTGCTGGCAAAGAGATCAATTTCTTTTCACTCACACAAATCACCCCTGCAAAAGAAGCCACTGACAGATCACTCCTGCTTGCTTACTTTCTTTTCAGAAACACCCCAAATTTATTTGTGGGTGCTCAGTTTGTGTGTGCAGACCTACACAGCCTTTTGCAGCCAGATGCAATATTGCATTGTGTCAGCTCCCACCTATTACTGGGCACGAGCCAGCACTGATCTGAAGGCACTATGCTCTCCTTGCCCGCAGGCTGTGTGGTGTAGCAAAGCAGCAACTTTTCCCTTCCAGCCTGTGAGTGGAAGGGAAAAATCTGGGATCAAAAACCAAATCTTCATTTTCCTGAATATACTACTGTCCCCACACCTCATTCTTAATGGATCAAATCAGCCAGTCCTGAGCACAAAAGCAGCAATATCATGCAAAACCTCAGGACTTGTCTTGAAAAGAACTAGGCAAGGTACTGCTAATTTTACATCCTATGGCACCACCAGACAACTTCATAATATTTATAGTCCATTTACCTGCATCTAACTTCTGCTTACTTACTCTCCCAAAAATCTAGCAATTTTAAAGCCAAGGAGTGCAAAGGTTTATCAAACTGAAGAAAGAGGACTTGAGAGAAAATTAAATTCCTGAGATCTAAAACTGCAAAGTCTAAGACAATATTTCATCACGGAAATGTACTTAGCCTATTTAAATCTTCTTCTAAAAGCACAACAATTTCAAAACAACATATTGAAAATAGTGAACGTTTCTGATATGTGTCTCATTGGCTGACATACAGACATTACAGACTGATTTTTAATACACTGCCCTATTTCTCTGTGAGAAACATTACCATTTGTAACTCACTCCTCCTTTGTATCTACAGAGCTACTGAGCTGTGCCAATCAGGGGCCATCATAGCAACAGATTTATATTAAAAGCAAATAGAGTTCCTTTCCAGCACTTAGTTTTAATTACACCAGTTGGCACATTAACCTTCTGGCTACCCAAACTAACAACACTAAGCAGTATCCCTGCAGGAACTAACACAGAGTACAGTTACTAAGTAACCTTAGGTACGAATTGATATTCTAACAGGGAAGAGGTGTTTTCTGCTTCCCCCTCCCATTCCTCAGCACAGATTTCAATACATGAGTGAAATAACCAGGGCAAGCCCATCCCACATGATTCCAGGCACAAGGATGAATGTTAGGAAAAGTTTTTCTCAGGAAGAGCAGTGAGGCAGTGGCACAGGCTGCCCGGAGATGGAGGAATCAGTGTCCCTATGGGGTTCAAGAAACGTGGAGATGTGGCACTGAGGGACATGGACAGAGGGCAGTACTGGTGGTAGGGGAATGGTTGGACTTGATGAGGTCTTTTCCAACCTTCACGATGTTTGATTCTAAGAATGGGATGACTGCCTGTAAGCAGTTCACCTGAAACAGCTTTGCGAGGGGCACGGACCTGAACCCCAAACTGCTGGTGCACACAGTGACCAGGAAACGCAGGACCGAGGCGCTGGGATACAACTACTCACCCAAGCGAGAACAACAGGACAAGCAAACACAAACAAGCGAACCCCACGTGGTGCGAGGACTAAAGAGCACAACTTACGGTCTTTGAACGCTGCGTTATCTCTCCTGAGATTTACCTCCGCTACTGTTTATCAGACCAGAAGCGGACCTTTTGTTACCATCAATCCGGGCCTTTCGCATACCGTACGGCAGAGAATTTCCCCTGCCAATGGCACTCAAAATGCCAACCACCGCCCGGTCCTGAAGCCCGCGAGCGAGGCGCACCGCAGCAGGCAGAGCGCAGGGCGGGACGAGGGGACCCCGGCAGCGCCCCGCCCTCCCGTACCTGCAGTTCTGCACGGGGTTTTTGCGGGGCAGCTTCACGGGCAGACACAGCTTCTTCATCCCCTGGGCGCTCAGGGTCAGGTAACCATTTTCACAGCCGGTAGAGATGAGGACGAGACGCGGCTCCTGACGAGCCGTCACCATGTGTCCGTCCTCCTTGACCACGAGCCAAAACCTGAACGACACGGAGCGAGGCTGAACACGCGATGCCCGGCGCGGCGATCCCCTCCGCGGCCCCGCGCAGGGCTGCCCTACCTGTCCCGCATCTCCCCGCTCTGCAGCCCCATCGGCGTCACCCGCGCCCGCTGCACCGCCACCCCCTGGCACGACTTGACGGGGTACACGAAGAGGCTGGACACCGTGCCCACCCGCTGCAGCCGGCCCGGGCGGCGGCGGCGTTGCCCCGCGGCTCTCCCTCGGGTCCAGCGCCAGGCTCCGAGCAGGACGCCCAGCGCCGCTACCGCCGCCGCCCCCCACAGCCAACCCCGCGGCGCCGACAGCACCAGACCCTGAGCCCCCATCATGGCGACCGAGCGCACGGCGTGCGCAGGGAGGCGGGGCGGGGCGGGACCGGCCCCTTCCGGCTCGGGGGGCGCAGGGACGGTGAGTGCACCGCCTGCCTGGGCGGCCTGTGCCGTTGTGTCGTTGCTTTCTGAGAAGTTTTTTCTAATATCCAACCTGAGCCTTCCCTGGTACAACTTAAGGCCATTATTTCTTGTCCTGTTGCTGCTACCTGGAAGCAGAGAAAGACACTGAAGCCCTGGAGCGTGGCCAGAGAAGGGCAAAAAGCTGTGAGGGGTCTGAAGCACCAGTCTTATTGAAAACCACTGAAGGAACCCGGATTGCTCTGTCTGGAGGAGAGGAGGCTCAGGGGAGAGCTTATCAATCTCTACAACTGCCTGAAAGGAGGTTGTGGTGAGATAGGGTTCGGCCTCTTCTCCTGGGCAGCAGCTACAAGATGAGAGGGAATGGCCTCAAGCTGCGCCAACAGAGGTTCAGATTGAGTATTGGGAAAAAATTTCTTCCCTGAAAGAGTGGTGACACAGGGGCACAGGCTGCCCAGGGAGGTGGTGGAGTCACCGTTCCTGGAGGTGTTCAAAAAACAAGTGGATGTGGCACTGAGGGCAATAGGTAGCGGGCCACGGTTAGTGGGCATGGTGGGGATGATTGAGGGTTGGACAAGGTGAACTCAGTGGTCTTTCCGACCTTGATGATTCAGTGATTCTCTGAAATAAGGAGCAGTTGGAAGGGGGAGCTTTGCAAAGGTGAGGTATTGCTCCAGGCTGATTTTCTTATCTGGGGATGACCATACAGACCGGCTGAATTACAACAGGCAAACTTAGTAGGGGAGAGACAGATCTCATAAACTATGCCTGCGCACCAAGGAGTCACCTTGCTGTCATTTGCACAGGGGGAGAGTGAGACCCCCTGAAGCCCCTCTCAACTACCAACCCATTTCCAGAGTATTCTAAGAATCGAACAGCACTTGCAGAGGGGCCATACTTTGATCACAACATTAGAGGGGGCCTGACAACCACCCAAGACCCAGACCCATTTCTGGAACATTCTGAATAGCTGAGCTTGTACTCAGGGAGAACAAAGTGCAAAGGCATCATAGCTCATCGCTAATAGGGCATTTCTTATCTAGTACCAATAACCATTTTTCCCAGGCAAACTTGAAGCTTCTCTTTCTTTGAGTAAAAGTGTTAACCGATTGCTTGGTGTCATTTCACCTTAATTTACTTGATAGAATCTTGAACCTTGTGACCTCTGTACACTACCCAGGGCAACCTGGAGTCGGGTCATGATGGATGTATGCCTGCAGCTGCTGCTGGGTGCCAGCTGGGTGAGGCCCCATGTCAGGGCTTCCTTCTTGGTGTGCACCTGATTAGAAAGCCTCATTAATGGCATTCCATAGGGTCTTTGTGCTAGGCAGGTGCAACATCATAATACTGCTTGTGGCTGCTGACATCATGGAACCTTCTGTCAACTTCCAGGGTCTCTGCTCAGGGCAAAGTTGGAGCCTGCTACATTGGTTCCTCTGGCTTCCCTGCTCAGGCTCACAAACCAACACTTTTAGGATCAGCTTGCCAAGACCGAGGCAAGACCAAAAAGCAAGGAGGGGCAGTGCTTCGCATTTCTGAGAGATTTGTGCAGCCCTGCCACTATGAACTGCTGGAAGTATTACATTGACTGCATCCTGAGTGACAGGAACATTGACGATGTAGCCATAGTGGGCCTCTCCGACAACAAGTGTGTGTGGGCAACAAAGCCAGGAGGGCTGCTGTCAGCTGTCTCACCTTATGAAGTAGACTTGATCACAGGCCAGGATAGGAAAACGTTCCTGATGACTGGAATCACCATCGCAGGGAAGAAGTGCAGTGTGATTCGTGACAGCCTGCTGGTAGAAGGAGACAATGTGATGGATGTCAGAAGTAAAGGTGGTGACAGCAGATCCATCTGTATAGGCAGGACCCCCAAAGCTTTGATCTTCCTCATGGGCAACAGAGGAGTCCATGGAGGAGTCCTCAATCAGAAGATCCATGACATGATTGCCAGCCTGACACTGTGAGGCAAATGGCACCAGAGAGACAGAAATCTTCCACCAGAATATGGTGGCACTGTCATAGCTTTAGAGAAAGGAAATAAGTCTGGTTTTCTTGCATATGCCTTTGCCTACTTCTTTCAGGTAGGGGGATGTTGGGTGAGCAGCAGTACAGGGACACTCACTCTGCCTGAGAAGCTTCAGTGCAGGAGTGCCACTCCCCCATCCCCATCACTTTCAAATCATTAAATATAATTTAATGAATCTAAAATAATGACTCATGAAGAAGTTGATAAAGCTTCCCCAGACATGAAAGGAGAGCCAGCCCTGCTGAAGACAGAGAGCATTTGCATGCCCCTTGATAGCCATTCATCTTCTAATTTAACACAGAGTCAATATTTGGTAGTTTAATTAAACTCACAGAGAAATCTTTAATCTGCAGCCACACCTACAAAGAGCAGTAAAATGCTATGATGGGAACCAGCCCTCTGATGTATTAGCAAATATTCAACAGAACACTAATGACTGTCCAATTTGTAAACACTTGTCCTGTGATCAATACGTACAAGCATGAATCAAAACAAATTAACAGAAGTAATAAGGGGAAAAAGAGCAAAAACAGAAAAACACAAACCAGGTTTAGGATCTAACAATAAAAGCAATGCATGAAATGAAATAAATGATAGGAAAAAATACATTAGTATTTATTTTGGCCACAGGTTTCTCAAAATGTGATGCCATTCCTAACTGCTACTGACATTTATTTTCACAAGCTTAAGGCAAAATGAGTAAATATCTCCTGTGATTTTGTGAGCACTGGTAGCATTCTCCACTGCGCAAATCACAAAACAGAATGCTTTTGTCCCATTCAGTCTAAGAGCCATTCAAAGTGACAGGATTTGGAATAACAGACAATACTTTTTTTTTTTTTGATTGCTCCCTTCCTTGGTGCCAGAGAAAACAGATGTGAAGTGTGTATGTGCTCCCAAGAAACAGTGACAGGATGAGAGGAATGGCCCCAAGTTGTACCAGGAGAGGTTCAAGTTGGGTATTAGGAAAAACTCAGAAAGAGTGGTTGGGCACTGGCATGGGCTGCCCAGGGAGGTGGTGGACTCATCGTACCTGGAGGAGGTGTTCAAGAAAATGTGCATGTGGTACTGAGGGATATGGATTAGTGGGCAACACTGATGATAGGTGGACAGTTAGACTGGATGATTGCAGAGGTCTTTTTCAGTGTGAATGACTCTATGTTTCTGTGATTAACCAGCATGAAGATATGGAGATGTATGGGCCTATATAGTGTGTTGGTGCTTTGATAGCTACAGCTACTCCCTAATCATACATGATGGGTAGCACAACGCTGTACAGAAAAGCTTCTTTCAATTCAAAGGACTTGTGCATTAAATCTAGATACAGTTGCCTTTCCTAGTGATTGCATCGAAATTTATATTTAAATATATATATATATTTCTAAATCCAAGAAGGACCTTAAACTTATTCCCTAAATCTGCCAACTTGGACCCTAATGAGATTTTGTTCAGATCAGCTCTTGAAGACTGGTGAAGGCTGTGGTATGAAGGAGCTGAAGGAGGAATAGCAGAAGGCAGCAGCATCCTGATCTGGGTGGACATTCCAAAGAAGTTCCCACTGTCAAAGACAGCAAAACGCTGGGCTAGATGAGGAGAAAGGGTGCTGGGGTAGAGCTAAGTGTAGGTTGGGTTTGTCCCCATGAAGGAATTAACTGTCCCACTCCAGAGACATGCCAGGTATTTTTCCAGTGCCTCTGCAAATTCCACAAAAGGCAGGGAGGACTGTATGACACTGCTGGGTATGCAGTCATCCCACTTTGATTTCAGATAGATATGATAAAAAATATTTTACATCATACCCCCACAGCAATTGCATCCTTCTTCTAAAGTCAGAACAAAAAATAAATTCAAAAGATTCCTTCATAGAGAAGAGAGGAAATCAGAGTTCAGTGAGTCATGTACTAGAAATGAGCTGAGTGAAATTAGCATAGGGAAAAATCTCAGGAGAATAATTGGCAATGATAGAATTAAAAATAGGCTCATTAATGAGAGATGGCTTTTAATGGAGTCAAAACAGTATGGCTTTTCTTACATAAGGAACCATAAATGCATAAAAGTCAGGCAGGTCGGTAGGCTGCTTTGTCCTCTGTCTGGTCATATAGGAAGATTGACTGAAAATTGTCTAATTGAAAATTCCTCCAGTCAAATGTTAAACGTTGGCCTCCTTAAATTCACCAGGACAGCGGTGAAATGGTTGATCCGAGGAAATGTTTGGACCGGCATGAAGCGATGTGGGCTACTTACACACGAGTGCTGGAGCTGGGGTCCAAGGCGGCTCCTGGGGCAGGTCCTTCCTCCGGTGTTTGAAACCTCGCCTCCTGTGGAAAGCAGCTGGGATCTCTCCAGTAGAGGGCGAGATTTGGAAACAAGTGGCTAGGGCTAATTCCTTCAGTGGAGCAACCTTCATGAAAGTTTTTAAGGCACACCAAGAATTGCGAAGTACAATACATTTTTAGGTGTAGAAGGGAAAAAAGAAAACGCAACAGCAACAAAACCAACAACGACAACAGCAGCAAAAAAGAGAACAGTGTTCCATGTCTTTACATTTGAAACAATTGCAAACAGGACACAGAGACTCCGGATTCAAAACACCAGACCCAACATCCTGAAGATATGTCTTGGCAAGGTAGCTGAGGGGAGGGCAGGAAACTCAGCAGCAGGAGGTGAAGCAGAACAATAAGCGAGGCTAACAAGGGTGGAAATCTGACTTTTTCCCAGGAGATGGCACTAAAGGACAATTGCCTTTTAGCCAGCATAGCTCAGCTCAGAGGAAACCTCACCGAGGGCCAACTTCTTGGCGCAGTTTGCCCTGAGATCTCTACAAGTCCTTCCCTGTCAACAGAAAGAAAGTTTCATTCTGTGGTTTCAGCAAGGGATGGTGAGTGGTGAAAATACCTTTCTTCTCCATCTCCTGCAGGAGGTAAACATGAAGTGGGGGAGATGTCAGGAGGTCCCTAGTCCAACTCCTGCTCACAGCAGTGCCAGCGCTGCATTTGGACTGGGTTGCTGTGCTCTTTGTACAGTCATGCCTTGAAAGACCCCTGGGGTAGAGACCCCAGCCTTCTAGGGCAGCCTCTTCTCATGCTTAACTATCACATTAATGAAATTTTCTTCTTGTATCTGGCTGGAAACTCCCTCATTTCAACAGATGACCATGGTCCATGCTGTCTATGCGCACCTCAGATGCCTGGCTGCATCTTGTTGGTAACCTCTTTTTCAGTACTGAAGAACTTCATTAGGTCCCTCTCCTCATCCTCTCCTCCAGCTAAACAAAGCCCAGAGCCCTGAGCCCTTCCTCACTGGTGACGCAGGATCCAGGAAGGAGCACCACCCTTGCTGAGCTCAACCTGGACTTCACCCCAAAACCACCCTGGCAGCCTGATACCTCCTCCTGCAGTGACAAGGGTGAGAGAATTTACTTCCATTATCTTCATTAACTCCATTATTCTACATGCTTCTTCGGGTCCCTATTGCTCCTTGAAGAAAAATGATTTCCAAAGCTCGCTGAACGCAGATTTTAGGACCTGTTTCATCTCAGAAGAGGCAGGGCCCTTGGGATGCAAAGAAATGAGAAGGCTGACCAGACCTGCCTCCGAGCTCATCACATAAGGGGTGAACCTTGGCCTGTGGCTGGCAAAGTCCTGCGAGCACTGCGTGACGTGGTGTGGTGTGGCTTCCCCTGGTCACAGCACTTCACAGGCAGTTGTGCCAGAGCGCTTCCTCACAGCTCGCGCTGCAGGACAAAGGACAATAGTTGTGAGGCCACTGCCATTTCCTCGGGGCTTTGAGGCTGAAGCAGCAATTAAATGCTCTGGCAAAAACAGCAGGAATGAACTTCGTTCTGCTCCATGACTCACTGCTAGGACCAACCAGGGATTTTTTTCATAGAGCGACTTGCTGGGCTGTTGGGGGACTGGAGTCCATTTCTGAGAAAAGCTTGGGCAGGCTGGCTCCTTCTGACCGCTCCTCACGTACCCAGCTTCCTGGGCTTATTCACACTGCCATGTGTCATAAATCACGGTGAAAGATGGGTGGAAGTGTGAAGACACACTGCAGCACAGCTCTGAAAAGCAACACCTGGTTGGTGCCATGCAAGGCGAAGGTGCAAAAGAACTGCTTGCCTGCATTCAGGCCTTGAAATCAAACTTTCCCCAACAGCAACATCCGTCACATCCCTCATGCATCTTGTGAGGAGGGCTGGCATCCCTCTGAGAGGCTAAGAGGAGCTTGGAGAATAAGGCTGAAGGGAAGACACTGCTAACAAAACAGCCTGCCCATGCTCACAGCTGTGCTGGACATGACTGCAGCCCTCTGCATGCACCCTATGACTGGGTACTGCAGTTGGAGTTGGGCTGTGGAAGGGAGGGCAAGCCCTCAGACCACAGCTGGGCCTCACAAATGCACCGCACCATCTGAGGAATGGATTACTATCTAAGGAGCACTGATTATCTTACTGTAATTGGTAACCTCAGTGAGAGAGAGTTCATTCTGAGGAATAGTCCTCTGTGAATCACCAGTTGTTTTACAGCAACAGCACTGGTTACTTGCTTACTTTTTCTTCTCTTTCTTTGTTACTGATTTATTTTAGAGACACTGTTTGTTCAGCAGGTTGCTCACCAACATGCAGCACCAAGCTTTTCTCTCACTAAGAAAGGCCGTTTACAAATCACTCTAAGTCTACATGGATGGCAGCAAGGTTATTATTCCCTTAAAGTTGCACCATACAAGCAGAGGCTATACGTCAGCAGACCAAAGTCAGTGACGATTGCTGTGCTAAGCAGTTTGCAAACTAAAGTTCATGTTTACCTTTGTGGAAAGTACCTGCATTGAATGGGCTGGAACGTGTGGTGCAATGAGGGAGCAACCGTTCTGTTCTGAGGACACATGGATGTGCAATGCACAGAGAAAACAGAGACATGTCCTGGATAGATGGTGGGAACCAGAGGGTTGTGGTCAATGGCTCAGTGTCTGGGTGGACATCAGTGATGAGTGGTGTCCCTCAGCGGTCCATATTGGGACTGGTACTGTTTAATATCTTTATTAATCAGAACAGAATACCATGAATTGGAAGGCACTCACTAGGATCACTGAGTTCAACCAGTGGCCCCACGTGGCACCACCCAAAATCCAAACCCTATGTGTGAGAACAGTGTCCAAATGCTCCTTGAACTCTGGCACTGGTGCCATGACCACCACCCTCTGGTGCAGATATTTTCCCTAAACCCCACTGCCCCTCCCCTGACACAGCTCCATGCCGTTCCCTCGGGCCCTGTCACTGTCACACAGAGCAGAGCTCAGCACTGCACTCGGCTCCCTGTGAGGAGCTGCAGCCGCTATCAGGCCTCCCCTCAGCTCCTCTGCCCTG